CCTTTCCTATTTTCCATTTCAATTTTATAAAGAAATTATCATTTCAATAATCGTTCAACGCATTTCCAACAATGTTTATATATTTTAAAATATCTTCCCTTCACAGTAATTCACAACATCACTCCACAACAGTTAACAGCAGAAATAAATATATCAGCTAAATATTTTAGGATGGTTGAGTTTAGAGTGTCAATGCAACTCCTCGCCATTTGCTCTCGCATACTATAGAAATGAATAATAATGAGGAATTTTTACACGTCACCTGTCAACATCGTCTTAACATTTTTGGTTACAGACTACTAATTTTACCCCTATTTCATTGACCACTCAAGTAGTTCCAGTTTAAAAATAGAGGTTTTTTCTTAAAAATTCTTTGGGGTGTTTATGGGGTGGACTGATGTTATTTTTGGGTATAGATGGAAAGGAGAGGGTTTAAAAAAAAATATAAAATTGTAAATATGTGAAATTTTGCACTTGCGCGCGTAGTAGGAAGGGTGTAAAGAGGCCCATATTTACCCTTTCCCCGAAGAGAAAGTGAAAAAAGCAGGGTAGGGGTTATTTGCGATGCCTTAGCAGGAACTGTATGCGATGAATTTTCCTGAGAGTCTGAAAAATTTTTGGACTTGAATTCTTCTTACTCTGTGCCAAGTTTCAGGTAAGTTGAGCTGGTGTAATTTTTTTAATCATTTTTTATAGTATAAAGGAATGTATAGCAAAATAATTGGTAGTCTGTGTCCTATGAGGTCAAAGGTCAAATCTCACGTTAATCAATTTACTGGCACTTTTTGGATAATTTGGAACTAATTATGCAAATTGTTGACAAATTTTATGGAAAAAATTGTATTTTGGAGAAGTTAAATGGATTTAAATAATTGAAAAGGGGGAGGGGGGCACCTGCTCAGCTTGTCAAAGGGATGACGTAATGTGTGCAATTGATGTGTGTCAAACATTTATGCAATATGAATTTTGATTCTTTATATAATGTTGTAGGTGACATAAAACCCATTCCTCACCTATCCTGCTATTTTAAATGCCAAATGGAGTTCAAAAACCAAGGTATGTTTTAAACATTTGATTGTTCAGATTACACTGTTGTTAATAGGAAAGTAATGCCTAATTTCTCAAAACTTTGGCTACTTGGTGTCTGTAATTATAGTTGACACAGTTACTTATTAATTTGACACAATTACTTATTAATTATGAATGTGAACTAAAGTTGTAATTCTTAAAAAATTATTTTTTATCAGTGGCTCATTTCTAGCTGACTGATGTGGGATTGCACACAGTTATAGCCTGGATGGGTGGCTTCATAAAAAATTAGGCCAGTTGCCAGTCAGAAGTGAACAATTTTGTACCAGTAGCAGAGACAATGATCATTCAGAAAACAAAATACAGCTGTCAACAATATTACAGTCCAAAACAGCCAAGTTAAAGGTATACAGTCAGCTGACTCTTAAGTTTGTATTATTTTTTTTTGTGTTTGATTTCTTTTTTACACTGTTTTCATCTGCCATCATCATCTCTTGCCAATCAATGTGTACTCTCTGAAACTTTCTCTTTTTCCTTCTTCTTTTGGAATTGAATATCTGCTGTCTGATTGCTGGCACTGATCTGTGATTGTCCAAGACAGGGGAGGTCAGTAAGGTGCTCAACATTTCATATGGGATGTTTGGTCCTACTGACTTCTTCTACTCTTGTGGCATCTTGGACATCATTGTCGGTGGTCGCATATCAGACAAAATCATCATTTTTTGACAAGGACATGTGTTTTCAAGATTTTAGATAAACACTGTGCAGAAATAGTGATACACAAGACAGACAGAATTTATGTACTCCATTTTAATAGAACCTTCTCTACCCCCCCCCCTTCCCTGTTTTAGCTTCCAAGCATCTCCAGGAGTGATTATAAGTGACACAGGCATGGTATATTTTCTATGCTGAACCATTGAAAGTATATAGACATGCTTTTTAATCATTTTGTTTTTTTGGTACCTTTACAGTGCAGAGTTGCCTCCCCTTTTTCTACAGCAGCCTGAAGAATGTATGTAGGTAAAATGCATATATAAATTCCTTTTCTTGTAAATTCAGAATTATAAAATCCAAAATTTCACAGAATTTTTGGTATTTATTATCTAATAATGCATATTGTTACAAGAAATACCCATCAAAGAAGTCTTAATATGACCAGGATAATCCAATTAGAGTAGTAAGTACCACTTCCTGACAGAGGCTTAATTGACCAGGTTGGATAATCTGCTTATAACAAAGGTATTAATCTCTTTCCCTTAACTTTTATACTAATTTTTTATAGCCTATATATTGTAGAATTTTTTAATATTTGTTTTACTAAAATTAAAATGTGCTAAATATTTTTATTTTTAATATTTCCAAGAATTTTATGCTTTTTGAAGGTATTTTTTTGAAAAATTGTTTAAAATATTTACTTATGCAATAGGTTAAGTTTTGTTCTTGAAATTTGTGTAGGACATATATATCTAGTATACAAAAATATAAGGAAAGAAAATAACTGTCATGCATGTGAGCTGTGAGCATTTCAAATCTGAGAACTGTGTGCCTAATGCTTCTTTTACCCTCTGATTTAAGGTGTTCCAGCACATCAATTAAAGGGCCATAACTCTGCTTAGGAATCATCAATTTCAATGAAACTTCACCGGCCACTTTGTAGATACAAAAGACTCCAGCATGTCAAATTTCAGCAAAATCAGACAAGGTTTGTGTCCTTATTAGGTTACAGACTACTAATTTTACCCCTATTTCATTGACCACTCAAGTAGTTCCAGTTTAAAAATAGAGGTTTTTTCTTAAAAATTCTTTGGGGTGTTTATGGGGTGGACTGATGTTATTTTTGGGTATAGATGGAAAGGAGAGGGTTTAAAAAAAAATATAAAATTGTAAATATGTGAAATTTTGCACTTGCGCGCGTAGTAGGAAGGGTGTAAAGAGGCCCATATTTACCCTTTCCCCGAAGAGAAAGTGAAAAAAGCAGGGTAGGGGTTATTTGCGATGCCTTAGCAGGAACTGTATGCGATGAATTTTCCTGAGAGTCTGAAAAATTTTTGGACTTGAATTCTTCTTACTCTGTGCCAAGTTTCAGGTAAGTTGAGCTGGTGTAATTTTTTTAATCATTTTTTATAGTATAAAGGAATGTATAGCAAAATAATTGGTAGTCTGTGTCCTATGAGCGGGAAACGGGACACAACTTCTGTAAAACTGAAAGTAGAGACTAATTTCAAAACCCTTCATACAACTCAAAACAATTCCGGAAATATGAAATACAGACATCCCATAAGTAAAAAATAAAATTAAGAAAATTAAAAAGGTCTTTTTATTGCTTCATGACACTTTGTAAATGCACCAATCTGTACATGCATAACAATAATTCAGTTAATGGATAAAAGTTAAAGCTGAAGCTCAACCAATTGTACAAAATACTGATTAAAAAGTCAATGCATTAAAGATATCCCTGTATCTCTGCACATAAAATAAATGAAAAAGAATACATTTGTAGAAATAAGACTACATGTAATGGTACAAGCACCTCTAACATGAAAATATCAAAGAACCTGAATCAAATGAATGGCACCCTAGTATCTTAAACATCATTTAATTACTACAAAATATGCAACACTTGTATTAATAAGCTTGAACATGCAATAATTGCATGTACCAGTACATTACAGGTAGAAAACTTGTATCCAAGGACAATAAAAGTTCTCACTGGAACACACTGCCATGTGATATATACATGTAGCACTCACATTTTGCTTAATTTATTAATTAAGTTAGATTTTGACATTTTATTTTATTTTTTGTCAATTAATCTGTACATAGACCTGTATTAGCACTAAAATATCTTAATAAGTTAACCCATTAGTAAAGATAATCAAATTGAAAGAAAAACTGAGCAAGCTCACATACCCCGTGCTCCCCCAAAATTAGACGTGCTGAAATTCCCAGAAAAAATACAGGAGTCGAAATTTCCTGGTAATATACACATCTACACATTGTGTCCTAAATGTTTGCAAAGTTTGACGAAATTGTGTGCAGCGGTTTATGAGGAGTTGTGCTGACAAACTGTTCATGTTTATAATCAAGATAGGGCCAAATATTTAACTTGAAAAGTGCCAGAATTCCCCACCCCCAAAAAATAAAGGAATCGGAATTTCCTGGTAATATGTACATCTACACATTGTGTCCTAAATATCTGCAAAGTTTGAAGAAACTGTTTGCAGCAGTTTATGAGGAGTTGTGCTGACAAAAAAACAGGACTGGCGGACGACTGACACATCGACTGTCAGACTAGTCAAAAACATTATACCTCTTGCAACTTGTTGCGTTGGGTATAATTAACATACCAGACTAAACAAAATACTTGTATGAATCAGTATACAAATGTACATGGCCAAAAAAAATCATTTTTACTTCGTTTCTGAGGTTTGGCACTATCTACATGTATTAATTTAAATGTATAAAAATTCACCACAAATATATATGTGTCTATTCATTTCCCATGTGTTGGAACATTACAAAATATGAATAAATATTTTGCAAAATATAAGTGAATTTTTGGTATACAAATCATTTGATTTGGAACTGAATTTTTTACAATTACTCAAAGCAGACAAGAAAGATGAATGAGGACTTATCACCAGCCGGAAAAGGATCGAATTAAAAACTTCTTGCAAAGTGCTTTAATTATACTTTGCTCTTTTAAGCAATATTGGCTGTCACACAAGAATAATCCAGAGATATGCCTATGTACATGCAACTACCCACTCAAATGCTAAAAAGATATATTTTAAAAGTATCTGAGTTTTGTATCTTACTTAAAACAAAAAACTCTTACAAAATATACCTATTCTTTAACTTGACTTCACTAGCAGTTATTCAATAATTTCCCATTGGATTAATAATCACTTCTTTCCCTCTTTCAAACCATAGATAAACTCAATATTGAGCACGCTAACTAAGCAGAACACAAATGAAACATTTTTGTTAAGTACAGTCAGAGGTTCCAAGAGGGCTGAATCAGGGAGCATTGTGTAGTGATTGTTAAGTCAGTGTTTGTTACACTATGACGGCCATGTTGTTTGGATTTAAGATCTCAATCCAGTATCCATCTGGGTCCTTAATGAAGGCCAGGCCTTTCATCTTGCCTACAACAGAATTGATTATCTTTAGTCTTCTTTTTGAATATTAATGAATGAAATATACAATTGAAAAATGTTGATAACTGTACATGTCACATATCCCTTGATTCCTAGTTTATCTTCAACAAGTAAATAAGAAATTAACACACATTTTTATGTCAAATCTTCACCTGTATGGACATCAAAACTCGTACACATATTACAAGCTGAAATACATGCAGTATTATATCTGTATTCAGCCTATGGGAAAGTTTTTTGGATCACACAGGACATTAATGAACTGTTTTACATATCTCTACTACAACATAGGCAGCTGGTGGCATCATTTCTACTGAGTTTGGAGCTCAGAGAACCTACGTGCCTTAGGCTATTACACCCTTTTTACATTCACAGTGTATTTATCCTTAGTGGATACTTTAAAGTACGCCTTTTCCTTTTACAGAGACATAAATTAGCTTAGCTAAAATTGTAATCCTAAAAGATAATATTGCTTTGCTTCGTTTTCACAAAACTAAATAATTTGTTGCCATTACATTTGAATATGTGTACACCTAATGTATCTAATCAAAACATGTAAGTTTTTTAGGTGATGTAAGTATATACCATCATTAGGTTTCTTTACAAACTCTACTCCCAAGGACTCAAATCGCTCACAAGCCTTGTCTACATCAGGAACAACAATACCAATGTGACCTGCAATCAAACAAAGGGATAATAAGATAAGATAATAGAGTTTCTATTCAAAATTCAAAACAAGATGTGTTTGTGGAGCATAATGCCATTGATGCCTTCATATGGCAGCAACTCACAGCTAAAGTAAGTAAGTGAACCTTTAACCTCAAGGTCATGAGGTCAAAAAGCTGAAACTCAATAAAAGGTCTTTTCACAAGGACTATATACATCATAAATGAAAGCTCTAGCACCAACTATACAGAATTTTCAACAGTACATGTAATTGAAACTTTAAGCCCAAATATTGTACCCCAAGGAAAGGATTTGTCACAATGCATGTGAAATATAAAAGCCCTAGCATCAACCATTCTAATGTAATGGGCAACAAACTGTGTTAAGTCCCATTTCATTCTTACTTATTAGCTTGATCAGTTTGATGACCTGACCTAGCTGACTGCCTTAATCAGGCCAAGTCACCAAATTGGTAAGGTCTTAGATTCTCATTTTACCATTACGATAGCCTCATAAAGGTAAATCCATTTTATATACCGGTACATATTTATCCAGAAACACTAACACACACACTTACCAAACCCTCTAGGGTCACTGTTACCATTGTGATAGGATTGTTCTGGGTCATTTTCTGTCCCCCAGTTACTACAAAGTTAATAACATTCAAATAAAATAGGATTATTATTACATCTTATGTTCAGGGGTACATGTATTTTGACAGCATTGAAACAGTATTAAATTGTAAATAAGCAATTTGCTAGTAACTAGTCTATAAGAGGCAAGTGAACTACATGTCAAACCCTGACTACTATAATTTGGGCATAATACATGCAAAATACAACTTTATAGTACTGTTATTATTATGCTGAAAAAGTTACAAGAAGCATAATAGAATGTAATACTCAATGCAAGATATTTCTCTTATTAAACCAGTATAGATACAGTTCATCAATACAGACTAACAAGTCAGTGAAGTCACCCTATATAGTAACCTTTATATGTATTGTTTATCAGACAGCCTTACTGTGTAAGCTCCAGAGTGGCTTTTTGTTGGAAGCAATAGCGAGTTCTCTCTGTCTCATCCTTAGGAATATTCTCTGGTTTATCATATCCAACAAAATACAGAGAAAATGACATGGAAGGGAAATCAAATTTCTTTAGTAACCTGTGAATAGAAGGAATATTGCATTCAATATCATGATAATCCATCTGCTTGTTTTGCCAGTTAGTACCAGATGCTGTTATACCTAGTATGCTATACATGTTTTGGATACCTATATTTAGGCAATTAAATTTTTATGCGCCCGGATCGATAGATCCGAGGCGTATATTAATTTTGTCCTATCTGTCTGTCTGTCTGTTTGTTTGTTTGTTTGTTTGTTCGTCTCCAAACTTTAACCTTCGCCATAACTTTTGAACCATGAAAGGTAGAAACTTCATATTTGGTATGCATACTTCACTAATTAGGTGTTTCCAAATGACACCAATATTAATGACCTTGTGACCTTGAATGTGACCTATATGCTAAAAATAGCTTTTCTGTCTGCAAACTTTAACCTTCGCCATAACTTTTGAACCATAACAGATAGAGACTTCATATTTAGTATGCATACTACACTAATAAAGTTCTTTCAAATGACACAAAGGTCAATGACCTGGTGACCTTGACTGTGACCTATATGCTAAAAATAGCTTTTTCGCACCATAACTTTTGAACCATAACAGAAAGAGACTTCATATTTGGTGTGCATAATCCACTCATCAAGTTCTTTTAAATGACACCAAGGTCAATGACCTTGTGACCTTGACTGTTATCTAAGCTTGTATGCTAAAAATAGCTTTTTCGATTTTTGTTGCCGCCGGGCACATAGTGTTTTACAAACACATCTTGTTAGCAGTTAAAAAAAACCTAATGCACTTTCACAAATATTCAACAGTATCCATCCCTAGCACCAGAATGCCTGACACTGTGGCCATGGATGTCACAATTTTGCCTTTGGTAGAAAGTTCAATGTTTATTGCAATCATGCTAATAGCTTGACTGCTTGATTTCCAGGAGTACATGTAAGGAAGACTACTGAAGACTGATCTATTAACTTTTTACGGTTTTGCATGGCCCCACTCCTCAGGACATTGGGAGATAAAATTCACAATTTATGTTCCCCTTTACCCAAAGTTGCTACAGGTGCATACTAAAGTTTATCAAAATTGGTTCAGCAACACAAGATAAAAAACTAAAAATGTTTAAAAGATGAAAACAGATAGCAACAGTAATGTGAACAACTTGAATAATTTTCACACAATTCTTTTGAAGTGTGAACCTGCATAAAGCACTATTTATGTGACTGCATTGATTTATAATAAAAATATTTTGGCTTGCATTACCTCATTCCCATAACCTTTGTGTAGAATTCTAGTGATCTCTTGGGATCTTTCACACGAATCATGGTTTGTTGGAAAAAGAAGTCCTATGAAATGAATATAACCCAGAATCAGTACATATATAAAGTATTTTTATAGTTCCTTATTCATAATGACATATAATCTTAGATTTTGTCGATTCTTTCAGCATGTGTGTTGATAAATGTATGATCTACATAATGACTTAATTATTTTCTATATAAGGACAAAATCCTGTAACATCTCTTGACTTTGAATATTTTACCTGAACTCTTTACATTTAATAATAAGTTTTATGAAATGTGTTTTTTTTTTTTTTATTTTTTTGAGAAGTAATAATTGATAAAATGATCACTATAAATGCAATAAATAAAAGAAATTGACCAAAATCAAAGGTGTGAAGGTACAGTGTATTCACTAGTATTAATGAACCTAAATAGATTGTTTTGAAAAAAATTGTTATCCGTCAGGCAATTGACTCAATCAAATATACAGGTGTTTATGGTGCATATAGGAAATCGACTTTTATTGCAAACAGGAAAAACAAGTAACAAATGAAAGAGGCACATTGAGAGTAGAATAATGTTCATTGTTTTACGTTTACAATGATATGTGTTTATGTGGTTTTAAAGTGTAAATTTAATAGTCAATAATCGGGAACATTCTACCCCTGGTTATTTTTATTATTAATATGTAGTGTATGTAGGACAAATTGTTGAATCACAAGAAAATTTTAATACTTTTTTAAAAAATCATTATCAGGGACGTATTGTAATCAGTATATACTAACAGGATAGGCAACTTTCATAATTAAGACTCACAATATATCTTGTTCATTGCGGGATATTCCAGTCAACTTTAAAATCAAGATTTATCTAAAAACAAACATTTTATTAGAATTAAACATATTCTGAAAAACTTGCAGTGATGCAGTAGTTAGAATAATCTGTGTCTCAGGACAAGCCCTAACTATATACAGTTAGAATACAATCCCATATACTTGCAATGTAGCAAATCAAATGATTTTAAAGAAAACAAAGGTTTTGCACTAAAAATGACTACCAAATTAATCAAAAAAAACTTTTTGAGATTGTATTTACCTTTTATCCGAAAAATAATCCATATTAAGACGAAAATTTAACTAATTTTCTCATGTTTTTTCCTTGCTTCAAATTTACCTGCCAGTTAACATTCGGAACTCTCTGGATTATTTGTAGTAAATGGACTGGTTATGAGTTATCTGCTGTGTATATTTTGATACATTACAAATAAACTGAACAAATTCTTTCATTAAACCGGGTCTGTAGGTCAATATAATGTTCTATCTAGTGATGCAGGGGCCAGCCATATTACATTTTCTCTTTTCCTCTGGCATACATGCCAACTTTTGAAAATTCTCATGGGGGATTTTGCACGTGACGACAATTTTCAAAGCTTTAAATTCGCGACATTTTGTAGTGAAAATAAATGATTATGAAATACTTTTTTTAAAAATTATAATATTGATAGCACTTATTAATACAGCACAAATAAAACAATAGAAATTAAAGTTTTATTTTTCCAAATTTAAATATCTTTGCTTAATAGTTGTCACTCTGTTCTATCAATTTACATTTTGTTTTTGGTATGTACCCTTAAAATCAAGTGTCACTTTATCCCCTAAAAGTAAGTATATAGACAGTGCATGATTAATTTTATCTCGCACACAAAACAATTTGGAGAAATAGGCCTAATTAAATCATGATTTTTTTAACACAAGCCACACCCCCCACCCATCCCAAAGAAAATTAAAATTGTAAAGACTACATCATGAACATGATGAACTTTTGCAGTCTTGGTAATGCCATATGGGTCTCTGGTATTTCCTTGACATATATGTAACAAAGAAATACAATGTACAATATGAGTATGATCTATGGGAGAAAGGGGGGGGGGAGAAATTCAGTGTACCTAACATGAGAGTATTATTTAATCTAAATTATTTTCAATATTTTTTTAAATTGACAAATTATACAATATTTTTAATATTAGCAGTTAAAATCAGCAGCTACCGGGTATATATGCTTTGAAATTTTCTACTTTCGTTTTCAAAAAAACGATCTTTTTGGATTCCTATTTTATTGTTTGATTATCATTTTATTGACTTTAATTTTTGTTTTTAATACATTGACTAATAATTTAAGCCCTTAATCTATGTGTTTCACTTCGCATACCCCTTCAAACTAAAAAGATTAATCCTCTAACTGCTCCAGGCTATAAGCTACCTGTACCTGGACAGCAGCCTGTGCGTTCAAGCGAGAAGTGATTTCCTGTGGCTAATTAACTCTGCATGCTATGTAAACAATGAGACTTGTCTGTGTGCATTGAATAAACAACTCTGATATTCTTATCCCGATTGACAAAATTCGGCGGTAGGGAAACTGAAAATCTGAATTTTTTCAAATCGGGAAATTGGGGCAATTTTTCTCTCCCGATCGGGAAGGCGGGATGAAAGGGTAAAATCCTCGCCTAAATCGGGAAAGTTGGCATGTATGCTCTGGCTGTTACATATATCACTGATTATTGTAATTATAATTTGCTACTGACAATGCAGCATACGTTTAAAAGCCAGCAGTTGAACCAGGGACCTATATACTGACAGGATAGGCAACTACCACAAGTCTCTCGATATCTCGTATCTCGGGATTTCGTATGTCAACTTTAATTAATTATATCTCGAAAGCTATCGCATATTTGAGATAAAGTCCTTGAATTGTCTGTCAAAAAATCATTCAAGATTTGTTTTTAGCACGTATTTTACTCCTTCTCTTAGTAGTAATTTTGTTTCATGCAAAGTCAGCACTTGCCCCGATCGGCCATATTTCTGAGAAATTGCCGATTTCGGTGTTTGTTTTATTTATATTTGAATTATAATATTATTATGCTTTAAAATTTATCAATAAATCAATTCCTTTACATAAAAGGAATAAAAGATATTAATCAGAAAACAACCCTGTTTACTGGGAATAAGCGTAATTTGAAAAACTTGTAGTGTTGTGCGTGATGTTTTGGGTATTAAATAAACATGGCGATGAAGGAGTTGCCTATCCCATTAGTATATAGGTCCCTGGTTGAACAGACATTTTAAATTTTAAGTGGTCAACTTCATTTTCATAGTTGACCACTTAAAATTTATAATTAACACGTCATGGGTGTCCTAAGATATTAACTCTGAGGTACGAGAACTGGAAGTTAATTTAAATATTGAGTATGTGCTTGTAAACATGTACATGCACTAATGTCTTACCCAATATAATTTCCAGGCGACAGGATCTAGTTAGACTAGTGTAGTAACCGGACCACTAATCCGAGATTCCTCTGACTGTAACCCCCGCTTTTATATTATGACTTATAAACAGGTCCAGTACAATACCCTAGCTTGATGGAAGCTATATATCTCTTCCAAAGTATTTTACAAATACCTTGATCAAGGTATTTTATGTCATGAAAAATCAAAAACAGTCTTAAAAAATTAAATACTGAAAGTCAAGTTCTGAGTTTTTGTCAGTGTGTTTACTCGTGCATGAAAAACACTTAAGGAATGACTCTAATTCTTGGCCATATTATCGAATATAATCTGGTTTGGGTCAGTTTACGCTTTATAATCCGCGAAGCGGATTATAAAAAAGCGTAAACTGACCCAAACCAGATTATACTCGATAATATGGCCAAGAATTAAAGTCATTCCTTATAATTTAATTTTAAAATAATTAAACAACTTTTGATGTAAAATTGTGTTGCTTTTTATAAGTTCAAATTTACCGCGCAATAATACAACTAGTGCTGGGTATCGCGACCGAAAAATCGTATCGCGATATATTGCAATATTATATTTTGTATTGCAATATATCACGATATCAATATTTAATAATTTTTTGCTTTTCGTCAAGGTTAAATGAAAACACAAACTCAAATGACATGTATTCTCGAGTTGATATTCCAATTGCCTGATCGCGTTATTTTGGAGCAAGTGGCAAGATAAGTTTTTTTTTGTGGGAAAAAGTTGTAATACTCTGAATTTAACATGAAGGGGTTTCATATAACAGTTGTCGTCGTTTCGTTTTTGAAAGATACATGTCTCTGGTTTCTGATCACACTTCACGTCGCTTGCCGCCATATTTTACCTTCAAAAGGGCAAATAACTCTTTTTGTAACAATTTACAGCATATCGAACCCGAACCGGTATTCACAAAAAAATACAGCGATACGTATTGTGAAGAACGAAATCGGGATACACCGGTTAACCGGTAATATTGCACAGCACTAAATACAACCGTAGTAACGGAAGTGATTTGAAGCGAGGGGAGGTAATAACTGATACATAGATCTTGCAGCCATGATGTTTGTTTACATGAGGTAAGAACGAGTAATTGTTTAAAGCTGAAGGTACATTTATTAAATCTGGAATTTTCCATGGATTCCGAGGACTGGAAATGAGGGGATTGCATGGATATGATGATTAAGCTGGTCGTCAAGGGGGTGTGTCCCCATACCAAACCAGATTATACAAAATGTTATGTGTTCCTTTTTGGAAATCAACCAATGAGAGGCGAGAATACAAATAAAATTAAATTATTCTGGTATAAAAAAGAAAGCTTAAAATAACGTCTCCTCACACGACACGTTTTTATACTGATTTGTTTATATTTGAGTACTTTACATGCATGGGTGAATTTACTGACAACAACTGAGAACTTGACTTTCAGTACTTAATTTTTAAAGAATTTTTTGAATTTTCATTATACAAAATACCTTGATCAAGGTATTTTAAATACCTTGATAAAGCTATATAGCTTTATCAAGCTATATACCTTTATCGGGGTATTGTGCTGGACCTGATAAAAGCGGGTTATAGTCAGAGGAATCTCGGATTACCGGACCACAGACGACAAGATTTAGATACCTTAGTTGCTTCATCTGGTTCTTGACAAGCCTTTGCCACTTCTTCATCTGACAATCCTGCCAAG